AGCTCTTCCTAAATTGAGTAGTTCCCATAAACCCAAACATCAGCACACTGTTGTAATAATACTGTGTATTTTGTGTTGCTAGTTTCTGTCCTGTTTACTTTTTATATATGTACAAAATAAAAAGAGCAGTGCATATATTTCTTTTTTCATTCTTGCTTGTGGTGGTGTGCCAATGCTGAACTCTGTTAAAAGATGGGCTCTAGTAAAAGCTCTGTAGATACAGCAGTAAACAAACCAGGAAAAATCCCTACCCTCATGGAGTTCACATTCCTCAGGTAACTCTCTTTGAGTGAAAGGATTTATGGAGGCTTTTTAAAAGAGGCTGATATCACTCCACACTGTATGTTATTTCTAAGTCACCATGAAATTTTCACTTTGAAAAAGAAAGTTTTCTCCTTTCAAAGTCCTGCTTTCAGATGATTCATTTTCTCACTATCCAGTGGGCAGAAGGGCCCTGAGGCCATGGGCAAGCCAGAACGCCTATTTCAGATTGCTAGTCCACAGGAAGTAGTGTGCTGCATAGTTGCTAAGGTTTCATACTAAAAGGTTTTTGGCGTTATCACTTTGGAATTATGTGCTGCTTTCTAGAAAGTTAAGTATATTGTCTTTTTAGATATGTGCAAAATGTCACAGTATTGGATGAACTGACTAGATAAAAGCAACTCAGACCTTCTGTCAACACACTCAATGGGATATTAGAGAAGTTGTGGAGATAGTTGGAAGCAGTGTATTTTCCAGAAAGGGGGAAAGGTGGGATTTTGTTTAAATGAACAGCTGTGTTCCTTTTGGATTTAGTCAAATGTGTTTTGTTTTTGCTTTCCTCAGCAGGATGGCTGTGTTGAATATGTATTATTCCTGTATAAATTTAATCTCAGTCAAGGCCTCTTTCAACAATATCAGCCACAATGAAAGGGAAGATTTAGGCATATCAACATGAAGACAGTTGCTTTGGTCACAAGCATTGTACATGTATGACAGTGACAACATACATGATACATATATCTGGGTATATATATGGCCCATACAATATCCAGTCTTTCTACTTGACTAATGTCTGCAAAAATACAGCCTGACTCCTTACTATAGGATCTATCATTTTCAAAGTCTAGTCCAAAAATATTTCTTAGTATGGCATCTATTGCAGTTTCAGTTTCAGCCTGGACATATTCCTTTTACTATCATAGACAAAGATGCATACATACTAACAAGGGGGTCTGTCCAAATTTTAATAATTGTATTTGTAACAATTATAAGTTTATTATTACACTTTTCATATGAATAATTTTCTGTAAGATACATTTTATTAAGGGGTAAAATAAAAGTGGAAGATATATAACATGAAAAAGCTTAAGGCATATTTGATTAAGGGGAAATATTTGAATTTGTTTTGAAAATAATAGTTTAAAACACTAGGTTTGGGCTCTCCCTGGTGGCACAATGGGTTAAAGCACCGCATTATGAAGCTCTCCCAAGCCACTGCAGCACAAGTTTGATTCCCAGCCAGGGAGCTGACCCACACTGGCACAGCAGACCTCTCCTGACCGGCCCGCTGCCCCCCTCCTTAATTTATTTCAGTAGATCTGCCTGTTCTGCTCCCCACTTTGTCTCTGGTGAATCCACTCACACATCACACCTCTAGCCTGTACCCCAGTTCTGTAAGCATAAATAAAAATAAATCTTTAAAAATAAAAAATACTAGGTTGTAGCTATTTGAATATAGTGACTAGATATTTGATGGTGAAAGTAAGACATGATTTTGGTTTAGTTTGCTTAGGTCTTACATTTTTGTGTTGATGTTTTCTTAAAGTCCCATTGTAGAGCTATATATTTAAAGATTTGTAGATAACATTATATAAAATTGGGAATTTCTTTAAAAATTAACTGAGGGGCCCTCCCTGGTGGTGTAGCTGGTTAAAGCACTGCACTGAGAAGATAAAGCCATTTCCCCATGAGTTCGATTCCCGCCTGCCCTGGAGGTGACCACACGGCACAGTAGACCTCTCCTGACCCGCCCGTTACTCCCTTCAGCAGTGTACTTCATCAACCTGCCTGTTCTGCTCCCCACTGTCTCTGGTGAAGCCTCTCGCCACCCCTCAGCCTCTGGCCTGTACCCCAGTTCTGTATGTACAAATAAATCTTTAAAAAAAATAAAAATTATCTGAGTATGAGATAGGATAGGATAACCAGCAACAAGTTTATTCCTAAGATGAAGGTGAGTGGTGAGGCATTATGCTGCATCATTATATACACTGGGTCATTATACTGTCTTCTCTAACTTTTATGTGTTATATACATTACACATAATAAAATGCTATGAGCCATGTTATTTGCATTCAAGTATCAACTGCATGTTTAGTCATCATCCATCTTTGACCAAGTTATATTACTTTTTAGTGTTTTGTAGTCTCAACTGAAAAATGAAGAAATGTCCAGAATCTATCTCTATTTTTATCAAGATTAAAAGAATTAATGAATACTAATTTTTAATCAGTGATTTACTCATTAAGCTTTGAATAGATATAGTTGTTTTTACAATATTTTGATCTTCAGTTCTAATATAAGGTTAGTATTATTGAACAATGAAATTTACCTAAGAGTCCCAGTTTGTTTTACTCAATACTTTTCCATCTTTGCAGAAAGAATAGGTAGGAAACAAAATATTATTTCTGTGAAAGAATACCAATCTTAGGAAGAACAAAAATATACCATAATAAGAAATAGCCAAATATTTAGATGGAGGAAGTAGCTTAACAATAATTATAATTAGTGGGGAGAATAAACTTGTTTGCAAAGAAATAGCTCTTCAAGAATATTGTTTTGAGAGCTAATTCAACTTCAAGCTAAAAACTAGTGTCATTATAATATAAATCATATCTATTGGAATTTTATCTGTTTTGCATACTTCAGCTGTGAAATCATAGTGTTTAATTGTTTTATTTAATTTGTCTAAACTATAATTATTTTAATGAATTTGTAGAATTAAGTATGGTAGATGTATTTGACTATATTTGACATTTTTGTCTTCTAAAACTAATCTTTTATATTGAAAGTCATCAAAAAAGAAAAATAGAGACTATTTTACAAATATCCTGACAAGTAGTAAATTATTAAAATTGATAAATTGTATATGAACAATTTGAGTTACTTTTGAATGTATCACCTTTTACTGTGCAATTGCTAAAACTAATAACACAACAGTGGGCCTCTGTTTTTCAATGGAAAACCAGACTATATGTTTATAGATTATTATATTTATGGATTCATACAAGTATACATATAAATAACGGTTAGCTTTATGGTATGTGATGTGTACACAAAGAAATAGTACAGTAAGAGGTAAGTATTAGTCTTTCATGAAAGTACAATTTTAGTTGTTTTTTTAAAATACTATTTATTTTTGCATAGAGGGACCAGAGGTGCAGAGGTGATAGGATTCACCAGAAACAGTGGGGAGTTGAAAATTCAGGCTTACCAAAATACAACACTGAGGGGAGCAGTGGGTGAGACAGGAGAGGTCTGCTGGACCATATGAGGGTCAGCTCCCTGACTGGGTATTGAACTCCAGCTGTAGTGGGTGATAGTGCCAAGATTTATAATCCCTGGGCCACCAGGGAGGCCCAAATTACAAATAGTAAGCTACTTTTAAATTTCTACATTCAAATTATGAATCCTTTCTAGTATGTATATTTAATGAGAAGACAATTGGCATTTATAACTCAAGACTGTGTCATTCCATCTCTGTACCCCTGTGTATGCATAAAAGACTTGAATATGTAGTTTTCGTGAATTTTAAACTTTAATATAAGAGAACATACAAATTTAATTTAAAAATAGTAAGTTCAGTGGTAGAGTGAAGTTTAAGTCTTCTGTATATCAATACTTCAGGGAAAGATTTGAATAATGTTGCAGCATATAAAATGTATTCACTTAACATTTAAGAAAACATGAAATAGCAAGTTGATTTAAATTTAAGAAACCTAAAAGCCACAGTCAAACATCTTGCTATTTTATGCTTTGTAAATGAAAGCTAATAATAACTGACTACATTTTTCATCTTTTCAGGGGTTTTATTATATAAGCATCTTTATTTACTATGAACATGATTAAAACAGTCTGTTTATACTGTCTAATTCTTTTCAGTTTAGGGCAATAACTTGCTGAAAAGTATCTCATTTTCTGAAGAGTAGACAATTTTTAAAAGTTCAATCTTAATTGATATGGGTTAAAATGAAAACATTAGTCAAATGAAATGTTGTTGGATGAAAAAGTTACTATATAAGTATTTAAGGAAACAAAGAAACACATCAGATAAAAAAGTGTACATCAATATGGACTTCTCCATTCAGTACACATTTCAGATATTCAGAAATTAGAAATTTTGTGTTAACAAAACCATTTCCAGAAATCAATAGTTTAATCAAAATGCTATGTGATTTCCATTTTATAGTTAATATAGTACAGGAACTTTTCAAACAAGGGCTTTTATTTCTTTGTGTTTTTATTTTTTTTCTTCTCTATAGTTATATTTTTCCTCATTTTTTTTTTAAGATTTATTTATTCATATAGAACTGGGGTACAGGCCAGAGATGTGGAGGGTGAGAGGATTCACCAGAAGCAGAGTGGGGAGCTGAACAGGCAGATTGACGCAGTATACTGCTGAGGGGAGCAGGAGAGGTCTGCCACGCCATGTGGATCTCCTCCAGGGCAGGCAGGGATCGAACTCATGCGGAAGTGGTTTAAACTTCTTAGTGCAGTGCTTTAACCCGCTGCACCACCAGGGAGGGCCCTTTTCCTCCTCATTTTTTTTTTTTTTAGCTTTTTCTATTAATCATTAAGTCAAAATTTCTTCTAACTTGGTTTCCTGACATTTGCTTTATTTTTCTCTTTGCCTGTTATATTCTGCTGCTAACTAATTATTATGCTGAAGTTGACAAGTGTCAGAATAAAGTGAATTCATGGGAAAACTAATTCCTTCCTTCCTTGAAATTTTCTTTTTTTAGGATTATGCTGAGAAAGAGAACACCATAGCTAAAGCTCTGGAAGATCTGAAGGCCAATTTTTACTGTGAATTATGTGATAAGCAGTATTACAAGCATCAGGAATTTGACAATCATATAAATTCATATGATCATGCTCACAAGCAGGTAAGAAAGAGATGTCCCAAAAATATTTCTGAACTTTTGTAATAATTTGAATTATGTCGAATGTATGACTAAGATTTTTTAAATTAATTTTTCTTTCTTAAACAATGTTTAAAGATGTTACTCTGGGAATATAGTTAATGATAATAGAAAAAGAAAAAAATTAAATTACCAAAGTCAATATGAAGTAAATAACCAATGCCAATATATTCTATTCAGTAGTCTTTTAGTGATTAGCAGTAATTTGAAAAATATATTCTATTGATAGTGATCCTCTTAACATCTTCATATTTATTTTTTAAATATTTATCAGTTATAAATGAATGTATTCATAGTCCATTATAGAAAACATCCCATACTTAAACTATCAGAAAACATAAAAAGTGATATGACAAAATAATCTTTGTATAATATAACCTAAGATTATTGGTTAAATAAGTACCTAATATATGTATGATTTAGTTTATATTAATATTAATTTCTTTATCAATTGTAAATCTGAGGTTGTCTTTTCTCATTTCCTAAAGATGAGTTTGTGTCAAATGTGAAGTTAATAATAGACTCCATTTTCTCATATGCTCTACATTTATTAATGCAGCTTTATATACTGTTTAACTAATGATATGATAGAGAAGTCATCATCAATTTATAAGTATTTTCCTTTTAATCCACTTCCCAAAAATGTATTCTACATATCATTATCAAAAAGGGACATTTTGATCATAAACTTGCACTGACTTTCAGTAACAGTTTTATTTAGCATAAATAAGTAAGAAAGAGTAAGTAGAATTGATCGCATTAAGTGCTTCTGAATCATACTTTTTTCCCCCCATTCATTCACTCTAACAAAATTCCTGGAGTATCTGTTGCAGACAGCGTGGTCATCTTCATTTATATACATCACTAATTAATGCCTTTTAAAGCTGATAATTTACTTTGATTTTATTTTTCTGGTAGAGATAGGTATTGATAGAAATATCATTCCTTTTGTTACTAAAAATGCACCATAAAATACATAATTGCTTGGTTTGAGTATTAAAATTCATTATGAAATAATATTGATTTTATTGATGGTAGCTTTAAAAAGGAATGCTGGGATGCTATTGCTGACTTGGTAAATTGAGAATGTTTTCCTCTGATTTTTTTTTATTATTAAAAACACAAGATATATTGTTACACATATGTTTCATAGTGTATGTTTATGCAATATATGATGTGTGTGTGGCATTTGTGTGTTTATATGTATATGTGTGTTTTAGGAATACCTTACCAATTAATATATTTTGCCAAAAATGCTTTATTGAGTCATAAGTTTCTTTACCTAGAGCTCAAACATGATTACATCATGATGAAGACTTTCTCAGCTCCATATTCCATTGAAGTTAGGATACTATGTACTGTACAGAGAAGTGAAGAGGATTTAGGCTAAATTTGGGTTGTTAGTGTGTGTGTTTAGGTTACTTTTGATAATACTTTGATATCAGATCCTAGGGATGGATGCATTATCTCAATGGCCCTGAACTCTGGAAGGTAATACTCTAATAGTCTTTAATATATATATAATATAATATAATATAATACAAGAACTTGGATACTTAGATACAAGCCAGAGGTGTGTGGGTGAGCAGATTCACCAGAGACAATGTGGGGAGCGCAGAGCAGGCAGATCTACTGAAGTACACTGTTGAGGGGAGCAGTGGGCCAGTCAGGAGAGGCCTGCTGCTCCGTGTGTGTCAGCTGCCTGACTGGGGATCAAGTTCGTACTAAAGTGTCTGTGGATAGCTTCATATAGTACTGTGCCTTAACCTGTTGTGCCATCAGGGAGGGCCCAGATAATAGTCTTAATTGATTAGGTTATGTGACACACTGTGATAGTAGCTGAAAATATTTACTATCAATGCAATCATTATAATGCCTCCCTACTGGATTGGATCTTTAAGAGTATCTTCCTAGAGAATGCGTTCCCTTTTCTGCACATAGGCTGCATGAAAGGTATCTGTGTTGCTACCATATAGTTACAACTTGGTCACACTGAAGTAAAAAAGAGCAAAATTTGAAAGTAAATCTGACTTTTTCCCTGGAATTTGATTTCGAGGTGCAAAACAAAGAAACAAAAAAAACCTATAGTTCAAGGATGGTTGGATTAAGAACTTGGAAATGTAATCCCCTGCCATGATTAAATGTTTGCACTGAAAAGTTGAGAAACTGGTTTGTATAATGTACATAGAATGAGATGTTAAGTGGCCATGTGATCAGTGAAGGAGAATGAGTATAGGGATAGTAATTTTGATTCTGAGTGGCATTTAGATAAGAGCAATCTTTACAACTTGCTTATTATTCATATTTTTGCAATGTTCTGAGATCTCTCAGATTTCCACTAATAAATGAACTTTCAAGCTATAATAAACAAACCTCTTCTTTAATGAATATTACCACCACCACCACAAAATACCTATTAAACTATATGAGGAGAAAAAACAGACCTTTCAACTCCCGTAGGAAGTGTCCATAAAATAAAAGGCTACACTCAAAGTCTAGATTAGTGAAACTGGACACCCTTGGGGCAAAGTCATCTCTTTCCCACTGAATAAGAGGCGGAATTTACAGGTTAATTGGAGATGACTGATCCCATCCAAAGGCATACATTTGGGAGTGACTGGTGAACAGTAGATGCCTAAGGCAATAGTGGTGTTTTCCTGCCCTGTTACACCTCAGCCTTTGTGGGCTGATCTAACAGCTGCTGGAGAGGTGGGAGTTCCCACATGGCCCCTGGGCAGCTGCCTAAGGACACCACTCCCCAGGGCAAACAAGCTTCCTGGCTAGAGCTTCAAGGCTGAAGCAACAGCAGGAGTTTCCCAGGCTGCCCTGCAGTGGAAAGCTGCAGGAAGTTGCACAGAGGCCTGCTGCAGTGGGTTGATTTGATGACTAACCCTTGTGCCAGCCAGCTTTCAGCACCAGAGCCCCGGCACCCTCTGTTACTCCCACTAGCTGCCCCTGTGAGTTAGATCCTGGCCCACTGCTTGCTGGTAGGCCACAAGGTATAGCGCCAGCCATCTCAGATGTTTGGGACTTCTGGACACTGGGGCACTATCTGTGGTGAGATAGGTGGGCACTTGTGGCCTTAGAAACTGGTTATTTCCCGTGTTGTTAAGTAAACACCGTGGTTGTTGCTCCCTGAACCTGACTGGTCTTCAACTGAGTGCACAGGGGAGAACCAACAGACAGTTTCCTGTCCTCCACCTCTGCACTGTCCTTTCACCTCTGTAGCACTGCTAAAGCACTGTTTCATTAGGAACCCTTGATTTTCAGGTAGGAACACCTACACGAACTGGAAAAAGGCAAAGGGACCACATATCTAATGCATTAACTCCCTGGGAGGACAAGGGGGAAGAAAAGGATTAAGAATTCTGGTGGAGTGGGTTCTAGTCCTGCACTTACCTCCTTGGATAAAATAAACAGACCCAATTATTCATGCTAGGGAAAATAAATGAGAGACTTTGTGCACAATGAGCACACTTTGAAGAATACTTGCAAAATAATGAAAGCTGAATATTTCATTAGTTTTTCATTGTTGTTATTTATTAAAATTTATTTTCTTCTAAAATATTGGTGCACTGACAGTTTGCCTTTGAAACTGCTACTTAGGCTTTCCAAACAGGAGATTTTGTTTTTGCTTCAGAATGCTTAATGGAATCTAAAACATATCCAAGAGTTTTTTTCGCTTGCCTCACCTATCTTTGCAAATCTGTTATGACAGGATATGAGTTGTACTTGAACTCCAAGCTTCAAAGGAAAATCTGTTTCTCTCATCCACATGCTCTTAGGAAAACTTCAAAATCTCTCTTAAGTTCTTATCACTAAGGCTTGCTAACAGAGAGTTAAAAATAAGAGGAGGCGCAGGAGTACGGAGGCTTACAATTTAAGGTTTACAATTTAGGGTTCATTTTTGTAATATTTTCTTTTTAACTCTGACACTCTAAAGCAATTGGATTATACAAGGACAAGAATTTTTTTCTTGTGTATCTTATTCCTACAATACTTAATGCAGCATTTTATATAGTTTAGATACCCAACCAATGATTCCCACACAAATGAGTGGAAGAAGACTCAAGTTAAATTCTCTTCGGGATTTTTTTAAAGAGGTGGTAGTTTTGAAGTAGGTAAGAGTTCAAAAGTATAGACTGACTTATTTTTTTTAATAAAACAGTTTACAAAAAGAATATCACTGATGAGAACCTTAGAGTAACTTAGAATATAGATAAGTTAATATTTGATTATAATATTTTTCATATATGCAAGTATTTCCCTTCCCAATCATAATATTACTGATTATAATATAGCAATAGTGTGGATATGATGTATTGAGTGTGTTCTTCAAAGTTCTTCCTGTATATAACACCATTTAATCTCAATATAGTTTGGGCTCATTGTTTTTTATGGAGAAAATGATTAAACAGTAAAATATAGTCCATTCTGCAATACATTATAGAGTTTTCACTTTCAACAAGGTAAAGCACGTGGAATACCACAGGATCTTTATAGGACAAGATACATGGATCTTTCACTGAACAGACTTTTTACTAAATTACTGAATTGCTAGGAAGGCAGCTCTCACCAAAGAGCTGTCTCTCCACCATGGGAGTGCAGAGGAATGATAAGCTACTGGCCGAAATCTAGGCATGCAGTAATTATCACCTTCAAATGTGAAATTGAATGTGGAAATGCCCCATGAGCTTTATCGTCTGGAAATAAATTGTGGACAGCAGTTGGTAAACTCTGTTTAAGACTCCTGGGTTACAATGAATGTTGTCCCTAGTTTTTGACTGAAACATACACACATTACTCTGAAATAAAAACAATGTCAATTTAGATTTTCTAGTCAATATGACTCACAAATTACAATTTACAATCAGAGATCAGAACACACACACACACACACACACACAAAGAGGGAAATGTAAGAAGGAGAATCCACATAGATAAATACCTGCCTATTGAAATCT